TACTTCTAAGAGATTTGTTTTGTTTTTTTGGCTGTTGATAACTTCTTCCCAGCTCTGCAATTCAAAGATGTTGATGTTTCTGTCGCCTTTATTCATTGTCCAACTTATAGATGCATAGGAAGTACTTGTAAAGACCAGGTGCACCTCTGTCTTTAAACTGACATCCTTGCCCTTTAGAGTGGTCCTTAACAGCAGATTTTCTCCGTTGCAGCACATCTTTTGATTTTTATGACTGATATTACCATGGGTATTGATTGTGGATCCAAGTAAAATGAAATTATTGACAACATCAATCATTTCTCCATCTCTCATGATACTGCCTATGGTTCCAGTGGTGAGGATTTTTATTTTCTTAATGTTGAGATGTAATCCGTATTGAAGGCTGTAGTCTTTGATATTTCTGCAGCAAGTGCTTCACGTTTTCTTTGCTTTCCTTACATAAGATTGTGTCATCTGCATAAAACTAGTTGTTGATGACTCATTCTTCTTTATATAACCCAATATTCTTTAATATGATGACAGGGCTGCCAGACCTGGGTCATAGGATTTGTGTTTGGCATTTGGCACAAGTGTGACACTTTAAAAAAGCATTTTGTAAAAAAACAAAACAAAAAAAGAATTTTGTTAAACAGCAAAGCATTCCCCAACCTATAAGTTTCAGATTTTAGTACAAAAAAAGAGGAGGGGAGGGTGGGAGCAGAGGGATGAGGAGGGGGGTGGTTAATTATAGTGTGGAACAATTCGATGGCGGGCAGGGGTGAAGGCAGTGGGTAAGATCCAATGTGAAAAGCAATGTAAAAGAACTTTGTAAATAAGTATTTTTTTTTTAAAAAAAAGACAAAGACATTTGTGTGAAACAGTGAACTTTGTAAATAAATCAGTATAAAATAAAAAATTTAAAAATAACAAAGGAGTACAAATTAAAACACTGGATGTCATAAAACAACCTTTTTATGTAACTTATTTTGAAGTTACTGAATTTAGTGCTTAAGTTAAAATGTAACATACTTGCTCCAAAGATGAGCATTATCATTTTAGGGGTAAAGGATTTATATTCATCTCTGTTCTTTTTTTTCCCCCCCTTAAGGTTTTATGTTTGTGCTTTTCTTATTTGCTGTCTTATTTTTTTAGTATTCTTTTATTAAATCAGTGGCAGACCTCTTGGTTGTCACCGAGGCATTTTCTTCCCTATTCCGGTATTTCTTGGTTAATTCATTCTTTTAAAAAAAAATCCTCTAAGGTTAATATTTATTATGGTGACTCAAAGATTCTATCTTATATATAGTAATTTTAAACTCCAAAACTATTTGATGTTCATTATGGACTTAATGTTGGTTGTTCAGTCTTTTTTATTAATGAATTTTACAGTCATTATAACACAATTTGAAGAAAACTTTATATCTTACAAAATATGTTGACACATGTACTCATGTTTACATTTCAACAACTTTTAGGCTTGACAACTTGGCTATTGTGTGTCCTTGTGCAAATGAAGAAACCTGAAGCTCAGTGAGCACCATTTAAATTCAGTTCTTTATATAATGCAAGTGTTAATGTCTGCATTTTTAAAAGTGCTTATTTGTTCTGTATTTTACAGTTGCAGTTAGTTAACAAAGAATTGGAAACAATCTAAGTGCCCATCAACAAACAAATGGATAGAGAAACTCTGATATATTCACATAATGGAATACTATACTGCATTGAAAAACAAGGAACTCATGAAATATTATACAAAAGAGTGATCCTGGGGGACATTATGCTGAATGAAATATCTCAATCACAAAAGGACAAATATTGCATAGAGCCACTGTTGTAAAACGGGACTGACATCGGGGTTGAAGGGAGACTGAGAAAGAGTGGATAAATAATGTATACTGCATTGAAATAGATGAGGGAGAGAACTGTTTAGAAAGGATATATGATTAGGTTTTACTGTCATGACAGGAGTCCAGAATGAAGGCTGCATATTGGAGTAGACTTGGGGGGAGGGATTGTATAACAATGAAAGAATTTGTTTTTTACCTTTCAGAGAGAAGAGCAAATGTGGGGGAGGGGTGGGCAGGGAGAAAAGTGCAACAGAGAATGAATGGAAATCCAAAATCTCTGTAAACTTTCATTAAAATTAATTAAAAAAAATAATGAGATATTAGATGAGCTCTTGCCACCAATGCTAATTGTAAAATACTTGCTTTTCTGAGAAAGAGAACAGGAGGGCAGATAGCAAAGGTGAGAAGTGGGCTTTGAAGAAGGCAGGTTTATGTTTGAATCATAGCTCCCTGCTTGAACCTCTGCAAATTTACAAAGTAACATAACTTCTCAGAGCTCCAGGCTCCCCCTGCCTCCCTAAAATGGGAATGATAATACGCATCTTTGAAAAGAATGTTAAATGATTAAATGAGATCCCTCGGAGCTTACCAAACTGCCCCAGGACCATTGCTTAAGGAGGCAGGAAGAACTGCCTCCACAGCTTAGTTCCTGGATATGTTTTCATGTTTAGACTGATTTCTAATGTTGAAACTGATTCTTAGAATAATTTTTAAATATTCAGGCATATTGATGAGGTGTGATCAACAGATTTGAAATTTGCAATCTCAAAGAATATAACTAAGAATTTAGAGATGTTTGGTTCTGTTTTCAGACCCCTTAAATAAGACACCACCCACACATACCTACGTCTTTCTGATTGCTGTTCGTTTTAATCTATTACAAGAGATTGTTTTTTGAAACAGTTTTATATAGTTTGATTGAGAGTAGGGAATCATAATAATTCTGTGACCCATTTACATGCATTACTGTAAAAGTTTCATTTCACACAAGTGACAATTTTTTAAACTTAATTAGACTCAGCTACACTGAGGTTAGCAAAAAGTGCTTTGAATTATCAATAATTCAGCAGGGCAGACATTTTTGTATAATGCAGTGATTTTATAGAGTATTGTGAGATAGTTATCCTTAAAATAAATGGTTGTGAGCATAGATCATGGTGGTGAAGCTCACTTGAATGTAGCGCTAGCATCTATGCCTTTTATTATTGGGCAGAGTGCGGGACATCAGTCTTTCTGGCCATGAACTATTAACAACCTTTGTCCTTTGTGTTACCTTTAGTTAAAAACGAAAAATGAACATGAATGCTGGCTGATGGCCATGTCTTTCTTAAAGCTAAAAATTCATCTGGGAACAAAAAATGGGATTGCAGATTTGGATTTGTTTCATTGCATGAATGATATGTGGCATTTTGTAAATTATTTAGCACTGCAAGGATGGCAGCAATGTTTTGAACATCATTATATCAAATGAAAGCAGGAATCCCATTAGTATAAGCCCTGGGTTTTAGCTAGAATCTATCAGGGGAATGTTGTCACTTTAAAACCAGATTGTTCTTTTAATTGCTATTTAAAGGAACAAAAGTGTTCCCAAGGTACTGCAGTTGAGCAGTTGCAAGTAATAACTATGGATCCATAATTATGCAGCGCCGATTATCTGGCATTTAAAATACTGTGGCTGGAGTCAGTGACCAATTTGATGTAGCTTGTCTTTCTGAGTTTTTCTAGTACATCATGATTTATGCTCTACGTTTTAGCTGGGGTACAAAATACATTTTTACAAAAGTAAAGGCTGTGCACATTAAAGAACAAATTAAACTGAAAATAAAGACATGATAATAAAGGAACATATTGTAAGATAAAATTAAATCGTATTGAACATTTCTGTGAATGCTTAAGCCATAAGATTAATTCGTGTTTTCATGACATGTTGTCACAATGAACCCAGACATTTGTTGAAATCATTATAACAATTTGAAACACTATCTTAGAGAGGAGATTGATTTGTTTATGTTTTGAACTTGCATATGTTCCATATATTCTGTTAGCAAGTGTATCTTGAATATTTACTGTGTACCCACCAACATGTTAGACCTTTAGGGTAGAAAGAATAAACGTTATGTGTAAAGCTATAGTTAATTCTATACTGGTATATATTAAGAGTTAGACTTAATAAAATATTGTTTTAGATTTACTTTATGTAACACTTCTGATTATGCTGTTTTCTTGCCTTGATTTTTTTTTTATTTCTTAATTCATATATAAAAGCTTCATAGTAACATTCAGATGGCTAGCAGACAATGTTGTGTGAAGGCTTGGAATACACAGTGAAATTTCCTTTCTAATGCCATTTTGGCTGCTCAGACTGATGTGTCCAGATCTGTAGGCACAGCCCAACTGTTCATGTGGATGGTTAACACTGGTATTGCTGGTGGTAGTAACAATGGAGATGCTGAAATGTATGTAGATTTATACATTGTTAAAAGCAATTTCCATAGTGAGAATAAAAGAGTGTTAGGGGGTTAGACAAATGTTTTGCTGTTTCTTTTATAAAGTGATAATGTCAGATATTGAGAACTTCTCCATTTGTGTGGCTTCTTCGTATGGTTTCCTTCAGAAAACTTTGGTGTCAGAAATGCCTTCTTCATTGTCTTTGCATCTTCTCATCTCTTAAGTGCTTTTTAAAGTTCTTGTTAGTTCTAACTCCTTTAATAATAATGTCATACACTATATACCTCAATATTATATGTTCAGTATTTAATGAATAATGGTTACCTGTATTATAATGTTTGATAAAGTTTCATTAAATAATTCTGACCTAATGGATGATACTCATAGACTATATTGCTTAATAGGTTGATTGATTTATTATAGGCATATAGATTTGTGGGAACTGTTGAAATGCTAAGTATATGTCTGATAGCTTCTATAACTTAAAAATGTCTTAATAAAAGTTATTTCCAACTTGAGTCTTATATACGGTTCTTAAATGCATTAAGTCAATACTTTAAGATCCAATAATTGAAGATATTTTGTTGTTGGTAGAAAATGTTGATTTGATTACTTTATTCAGCAGTTCCTCTTTGTGAAGGAAAATTCAAAAGAAATCTTTTTATACTAACGTTTTTCATTTTGAATTGAAAAGCTAAATACGTTTTCATTTCATTCTTGTTATAGCCTCGTGCCGATCCCATTCCAATATGTAGCTTCTGTCTAGGAACTAAAGAATCAAACCGTGAAAAGAAACCAGAAGAACTCCTCTCTTGTGCAGACTGTGGCAGTAGTGGTGAGTGCTTTTTTTTTTTGGCTGTTCCTATAGTGATATCTTTTTTATCCTAGCTTTATCAAAAATGCATATCTTACCTAAAGCAATTATTTGTTAATAGCATAGGTTTTTAATTTTAAAAGTAAAGGCAATTAGAGGGAGGAAAAATGTTAGCTCTGTTATATATTGATTTTATGTGTTTATGTAATGGTGTGTATTAACATTTATAAGTAGGCTTTTCTTTCATGTCAGCATTGACTTAATTATGTTGCTCACTAGTGTTTAGAGAATTCTAAGCTTTCACGCTGAGTACAACTAGAATCACTTTTGTGTTCTATAGCCTGAAGTCTCAGTTTAAAGTTTTTAAGTTGGATTATATAATGTTTCAGGTCATGACACCTGCTGGTGAAGTATAACATTACAGCTCAGCTCTGGGTGACTCCAAATGAAATGAAGAGAGAGCAGTATTCTGAAAACTATAACAATATAATCAAGAAATCACTAGGCATGAAAAGACATAAAAATTGCCTGGAATTAGATGGGGAAAGAATGATCTGTGTAGAAAGTGATGTTGAATTCAAGGAATTGCTGAGCAGGGACCACAGTAGAAATGATTTTGTGGTGGCTCTTGCCTCTGCCTTTCTTTTTTTAACCAAAACTTTTAAAAAATACTTCTCTAGTTTTATAATGAAAATTAAAGCACAATTTATGCTTACATTGACTAGCCACTCTTCCTTTTAATCAAGCAGATGGTACATGAGGTCCTATCTATAGATATCAACAGAGTGAGTGGTAGGTATTGGACTTTTAAAAATTATCTTTATATTAATTTGAAATCTTCTAACCCATTGAAACTTTTCTCCCTCAAAGTGTTATTTTAAAATTCATGATTATTTATTTATAGTTATCTTTAAAAACAAACCTTTGAAACTCTATAGAGTGCTTTCATTTAGAAAGTAAGGAAAGTTTGGTGTTTAAGAGCAAATTCTCTTCCATATCAACTATATCCTTGGCTCTTCTACCTTGGGTTGGTCACACAACTAATTTTGTGCTTCCATTTCCTCATTAAAATAATAGCAATAATGGTAGCACCTATGTTTTGGGTTTTATGGAGATTGAATGAGACAGCAGAGTTGAATAACCTAGGACAGGATCTACCACAGCTATGGTAAGTACACAGTAAATGACAGCCACTGTTATTATTTGGCGTGTTTCCTATGATCCCTGATTGCTGCAAGCAATTTAAAATCTTAACATCACTTATGATAGCTGCTTGATAGTTAAATAAAGGAATGCTTCGAATTCTGCAGAATGACAGCATTGTATAATGATTCTCCCTCCTAAGTGAAGGTTTAGCTTGATAGGCCTTATGTGGTTCAGTAGCTTTCAGGACCTGATGAGGAGCGAAAGAGCCTTGGAAATCAGACATTTCAAATTCCTCCTGAGAAATCCATTCTGACAGTCTTTTTGATGGGCCTTACTGATTCATTAAAATTCTTTTACCTGGCTGTGGTATCATGGATAGTGACAAAAGGGCATGGAAACATTATCTGTATGTTCACTTCAATAAATTTCAGCCCACAGTCTCCCTGTTTTATGCTGGTAAGGTAGTGCCTCACTCATCAGTTCTGACTCTGCAGTTACCTCTGGGGTTTTCTCATGAGACTCATTCTGAATGAATTTTTCTTTGGTGTAGCTAACTGATCAGTTTAGTGGTGTTCACTTGTCTAGGGTTTACCTTTTCTGATTTTTAGGATGGTCCTTTAAAAGCCTCGATCACTATTTTATTTCTTAAAATCTATTTATCTGGGTGCCTAGACAGATTAAAGGCCTATTTAAGCATAGGAAGAAAAGTTCCCTTCAAATATTTGCTTACCTTTGGTGGTACATTTACTTGAGTTGATAAGGAATTCAAGATCATTATCTACTAGATCTTGACTTCAAGGCCTCCTTTGCAGGGTATGAAGGTGTAATTCTAAACAGGTAGATCTTAGATTTTCTGATGTAATCAATCTCTCTTGGCCTTTCCAAGATTGAAGACCTGCCAAAGAGAGGTTTGATCTCCTTCATACTTTGAGGTCACTGAATTTTCTTCTCTCCAACTAAAGGTTTCTTGTTTTTCTTTCATACTCAAGTGTGTCTAGGAGTATGTAGGTATAGTATTATATTTTTGCTTTTTTAAAAATACCCTTTTGTTTTTCTCTTTAACAAATGAGAAATAATGGTTTGAAGGCTCTCCCCAATGCCTTGTGTAGCAGGAGTCATTTTATAATCTGGTTTTCTTCTCCTTTCAGGTAGAGAGAGCCAAAGGCTTTGGAGTCAGGGATGAATCATAGCACAGATTCAAACCTCAGGATCACCTTGTCCTTTTGTTGGGCATAGAGATGGTACATGGTGTGGCTGCAGCCTCTGGAGGGGAATTTGCTTCCATTGTTGAGATTTGCTTATTTTTCCCTTGAGTATCCTGTGCTGCTCTAGATACTGCTGCTTTTGTTTTTAAAAATCAAAACTAAAACAAAAAAACTCAACCCAGTGTTCCTAACTTAGAGAGATGCCTTCTTCCTCCCCCTTCATGACTGTATAAGTAGACTTTTTTGTTGTTTGTCTTTAAAGTGGACTTACAACAAACCATAATAAGATAGGACTCATTTGAAGAACCTTGAGGGCCCTACAGTTTTGGTGTTTTTTTTAATTTTTATTGGGGAAAAAACAAATTGGGGGTACAAGGAGGTGAGGGTTGGGGGCATAAGGGTGAGGATGGGCAGGGATGCAGTTTGCAGAGCTGCAGAAATTGGTTGGTGGGGGGAGCAGGTGAAGGAAATGAAAGTGATCCAGTGGGGACCAGCTGCTACAGGAAAATGACAAGCATTTTCCAATGGTAGTTAAATCAACTGTCTTACTGATTTGGGAATTGGATGCCGACTCTCTGGCTTCTTCATGCTGAACAGGGGCATTGATGTGAAGGGGAAAGGGAGGACACTTTATCACCTTACTGGTGATCTTGGGTTAAGGCTGCTTGCCTTCTTGTTCTGTTAGAAGATATTTTCCTGTCATTTGCTCCCCTCTGGACTGCAAAGTGTTTTCCCAGGTGGGTCCAGTGGGGAAGGCTGGTTGAACCCAGAGGCTCCATCCTCCTTTGCTTCTTTAGCTGGCAGTTGTATTTCCTTTTTGTCACTGGCACTGGGTTCAGGGTCAGGTCTGAAGTAAAACTCAGTGGTAAGGTTACCTGTAGGAAAGGGAGCAAACCCAGAGAGAACAAACTTGTGAGTTACAAATAGAGGGGGTGTTGCTTTCAGGTTTACTAGGGGAGAGGGTGGCAGAAAGTAGCCTACATAAAATTCTCTGGATACCCTAGGCATTTTTTTTTCCTACCCAGGGGTCAGATGGCACAATCTAGGTAGGGCCTGAGGAGCTCACCCTGAGGGTGATGACGGCTCGCCCTGAGCCGAGGGCTGAGGACAGCCCGCCCCGGGCAGAGGGCCCTAACGGCTCGCCCCAAGCGAAGGGCTGAAGACAACCCTTCCCGAGCAGGGCAACACCCCCCATGGGCTGGCTGGTACACTCCCCTCTACTTGCCCCCACACTAATCTGGTCCCCTCACCTGACTGAGGAGTGTGTGGCCAGGGACAGCATCTCCAATTCCAGCACCTCCACTTTTACCCCTCCCCCCCCATAAGTGGTCATACTATGATTTGAAGTAGGTGTCACTTCCCTCCCCCTTTATAAATGGCAGAGGGAACCTGAAAATTGTGACCAGGCTCCCCCTAGGTCTAAACATCTTTTGGCAGAAGCATTCAACAGATCAAAATATGTGGTGCATTTAGGATGTTGGTCCTCTTGGACATGCTGCCACGTAAGTGTCATCAAGTAGACAACTCACAGTGACTCAACAATCCATTGTATAGGTGATCATCTTTTCTGGTTTTCCAAGGAAACCCAAACCTGCAGGTGGTGGGGTACATGTCCCCCTCATGAGTGGCGGGGCACGCGTCGTCTCTTCTGTGCGGGTTGTTGGTGGGCGCACACCATCCCCCAGCGCAGGTAACTGGCAGGTGCTCACCATCTCCCGCGTGTCATCTCCCGTGCGGGCGGCCGGCGGGCACGTATCATCTCGTGCGTGGGCGACCCGCGAGCGCGCATCCTCTCTTGGCAGGCACGCGTCATCTCGTGCGTGGGCAGCTTGTGGAGGTAGGTGCGCGTCATCCCCCAGCGCGGGCAGCTGGTGGGCACACGTCATCTCGCGCGTGGGCGACAGGAGGGCTCGCATCGTCTCTTGGCGGGTGTGCGTCATCTCGGAGTGCTCGCGTCATCTCGTGTGCAGGTAGCCAGTGGGCCAGCAGGTGCACACCATCCCCCACACAGGTAGCCGCTGGGCACATGCCATCTTCCACGTGGGTGGCTGGTGGGCGCGAGCCATCTCCCAAGTATCATCTCCCATATGGACGACTGGCGGGCACGCGTCATCTCGTGCTTGGGCTACTTGCGGGCACGTGTCATCTCTCGGCAGGCAGGCGTCATCTCGTTCATGGGCAGCTGGTGGGGGTGGGTGCGTGACATCTCTTCACGCGGCCAGCCGGCGGGCACACTTCATCCCTTGGCATGCGCGCGCCATCTCTTGCACAGGCAGCCAGCGGGTGCGCACCATCCCCCAGTGCGGGGCAGCCAGCAGACATGCGCTATCTCCCACATGGGCGACTGGCGGGCACGTGCCATTCCCCATTGCGGGCAACTGGCGGGCGCGTGCCATCTTCTGTGTGGGTGGCTGGCGGGCGCGAGCCACCTCCCGAGTGTCATCTCCCACACGGGTGGCTGGCCGGCGCACACCATCTCCCACCCAGGTAGCCACTGGGCGAGTGCCATCTTCCATGTGGGTAGCCAGCAAGCGCAAGCCATCTCCCGCACATCATCTCCCACAGGGGAGGCTGGTGGTTGCGCTTCATCTCGCGCACAGGAGGCCAGTGCCCACCTGCTTCCCCTGCCGCCACCATCTTGGCTCCAAGAAGTCTCCTCGGAACAAGTAC